CTCGATGTCAACATGACTGTGAAATACAGACATTTTAACACTGACATCATCCCGGTGTTTGACATTATGACCTTGACATTGATCTTAATGTCAAAATGACATTGACACTAAGACGAACTTTACTAACACACCAGGAACATACAATAGGGCCTATCTATAGGATACTATAAGTCACTTTCTATCTACACACACACATATATATATATATACACACATATACAAAACGTAAAATGCTAAATTCTCATTGCACAATGATCTCGCGTCTCCAACCACAATATCACACATACATCCTGCCTATCATCACATTGTAACCAGCAAACATACCAAAGCAGGGATTATACTTATCAAAGGTATGATTAGAAAGCTTGTAAACAGATACAATATGAGATGTATTATGATATATCAGTAGAATCAGATCTAATACTACATGTCCACCAGAACATCAGCCATACACATGGTCAGCAAGTTGGTATGTTTAGTGTTAATGTGTTTACACTGTACCTAATGAAAACTAGAATCTTCAAATTAAATATGCATGCAAGATAAATCATCATATTTATATCACTACTGATAAAGTTAACTGTTCCATACAATGAAAACATATCTTTGTTTGAAAAATTATTTCCTAGAATAAATGTATAATATTAATGCTGTTCTAGGACCATGGGAACAACACAGTCTGTTGCTGAAACTAGTGGGTAGGACTTACTAAAGAACAGGGTACATATTAGTACTGAAGCCAGGAGCCAGTAACCGGGCTAGGTGAGGCCGACTCCGGTATGGCTTCCTATCAATATCTTTATCTAGGCAAGAGGGGCAGTGTAACCCAGCATACGGTAGCCGATGATACCACTCAGAAAGGAAACCTAACAAATCTCAGCAGTCTAAACAAACACTTTCTAAAGCATTTGTTGAAACACTTTTCTGCAATATGAACACGTATGTGGTAAAAGAATCTAGTTTGTAAGAGATGGATTGGACCCTACTGGACATCAGGATTAAAGATGTATGCTACCTTGAATATCATATCAATTGATGTAGATTTATCTCTATACAGCCTTATGTCTCTGAGTCAAAGTAAGGTAGCATACAGCCATAAGTCTCTCAGCTACAGAAATGCATGTATCCTTAATTCTTGTGTCTGAGTAAGGTAGAGTACAGCCTTATGTCTCAGTGACTGAGTAAGGTCATGTACAGCCTTATGTCTCAGTGACTGAGTAAGGTAATGTACAGCCTTATGTCTCAGTGACTGAGTAAGGTAGTGTACAGCCTTATGTCTCAGTGTCCAAGTAAGGTAGTGTACAGCCTTATATCTCAGTGACTGAGTAAGGTAATGTACAGCCTTGTGTCTCAGTGACTGAGTAAGGTAGTTTACAGCCTTATGTCTCAGTGTCCAAGTAAGGTAGTGTACAGCCTTATGTCTCAGTGACTGAGTAAGGTAGTGTACAGCCTTATGTCTCAGTGTCCAAGTAAGGTAGTGTACAGCCTTATGTCTCAGTGACTGAGTAAGGTAGTGTACAGCCTTATGTCTCAGTGACTGAGTAAGGTAATGTACAGCCTTATGTCTCAGTGACTGAGTAAGGTAGTGTACAGCCTTATGTCTCAGTGTCCAAGTAAGGTAGTGTACAGCCTTATATCTCAGTGACTGAGTAAGGTAATGTACAGCCTTGTGTCTCAGTGACTGAGTAAGGTAGTGTACAGCCTTATGTCTCAGTGTCCAAGTAAGGTAGTGTACAGCCTTATGTCTCAGTGACTGAGTAAGGTAGTGTACAGCCTTATGTCTCAGTGTCCAAGTAAGGTAGTGTACAGCCTTATGTCTCAGTGACTGAGTAAGGTAGTGTACAGCCTTATGTCTCACTGACTGAGTAAGGTAGTGTACAGCCTTATGTCTCAGTGTCTGAGTAAGGTAGTGTACAGCCTTATGTCTCAGTGTCTGAGTAAGGTAGTGTACAGCCTTATGTCTCAGTGACTGAGTAAGGTAGTGTACAGCCTTATGTCTCAGTGTCTGAGTAAGGTAGTGTACAGCCTTATGTCTCAGTGTCTGAGTAAGGTAGTGTACAGCCTTATGTCTCAGTGTCTGAGTAAGGTAGTGTACAGCCTTATGTCTCAGTGACTGAGTAAGGTAGTGTACAGCCTTATGTCTTCGTCACAGCATGATAGGATACAGCATGGCATTAGTTTCTGTGTCCCAGTAGGTTGGAAAAAGCCTTTAGTCTCTGAGTTAAGATTAGGTAGAATACAGCCTTAAGTCTCTATGTTTCAGTTAGTAAGCATACAGCCTTAAGTCTCTATGTTTAAGTAAGGCAGCTTACAGCCTTAAGTCTCTATGTTTAAGTAAGGCAGCTTACAGCCTTAAGTCTCTATGTTTAAGTAAGGCAGCTTACAGCCTTAAGTTTCTTGATTGAAGTAACACAGTATAACTGTTTTGGATGACACTGACCTAAATCAGGTCACTATAAACTCTCCAGATCTTCATGGTCATAGAAAAGTACATCATCATTTCGACAAGGTTATACCTTAAATTAATGTAAGGCATGAATCAAAGTTTATATTTAAATCACACACTGATGACAGATTATTTCATCATCCAACAAAAACATGAATAAAAGCATGCTTCAATGAATATATTGCTCATTACTAATGTCTTCAGACTCATATTCAAATATGAATGGATGGTTATCTGTATAGCTTGCTGCAAAATATAATAATGATACTGGTACATGCTTTCACATAACACCTTTGAAAGGCTATACATATTTAGAAATTATATCAAACCAGATAAACCAAACAGAATTATAATTTCATAATTCAATTAGAAATGAATTAAAAGTACCTAGATAATATAACATGACTGTTCATCCAGTGGCAACTTTTATAGAGTTCATCAATTACATTTCACAATCAAGATATATTTAACAATTAAATGATAAAATGATGGGTGTACAGAGAGCTGATGACTTTTTCTTACTTTAGATAAAATCTTCTGAATGGTTAACAACAGGTTTCTATAACTGTACTGGTAAACTGTTGCTGTATATTGTAGCAGTGAATGAAGTCCTGTCTTAAAGTCACTACACATGTCTCTATTATATTTTTGGATTTCCATTGTTGAACAAAACTTTGTGGGCAAACATCCCACCACAAAATTCAGTTGACTGATTAAATTTGAAAAATATGTGTGAGACATCAAAATATTTAACAAATCATTTGTTCCTGATTCTGCCACTATTACATCCTTTGTTCTCTCCATAACTTCTTCAAACTATTATCATGTATTCAGCAAATATATAAATAGCATTATTCATGTTCAAATATACTTATGGGGAGACAACTCTCTAATCACATCTCTAACTTTGGTAATGCCCTTTTTCACTTTTTCTGTTTAAATCTTTAACAAACCATTTCATCTTTAAAACTCTACAATTTCATTTGAAATATAAATATGAGGAATCCATATCACTTTACTCACAGGAACTATATACTCTGTGTTATATATCATATTGGTCAATACAAAAAGTTTACTACAATCACAGTTCTCTCCCCTTCCAGAGATCTTGGCTTTGTGACTGATGTTAAAACATAATATAATCATTGGCCCAGGTAAGGAATGACTGTGTCCACTAAACATATACACCTCTATAGGAGATGAACTTCCTAGAGTAATGAATGGCCAATGTGAAGAGCTCCCTGGTCATATCCAAAGGATTTTGAGTAAACACTGCACCAACTTCTGCCTGAAAAGTATTGCTGGATACCTTGAGAATATTTTGTATGATCTGACTATCAAGTAATTATTTGAGATGTAATTCTTTTCCTCCCACACAGATGCCATGTTCCCAGTCACATTCTCCTGATGTGTGATCCATTTCAGATCTAATGTCCCAGCAGCGACAACAAATCATGTTTAGTTAAGACCACTACTTCCCGATGATTCTCACTACATCACAGGCTACATCTTGTTTAACTAGTATCATCAGTTATTGTCACTTCACACAAAACATCCAGCAAATTAATTGATGGGATATCCTACCAAGATCTCTCAGCTGGATAGGAAGTAGGAAAGATCTCACAGTTGAATAATGGGGAAGGAATGAGATCTCACAGCTGGATGTAAAGAAGGAAAGCTTTCAGAGCTGGATATGAAAAAGGAAAGATTTCGGAACTGGATATGAAGAAAGATCTCATAGCTGGGTAATGGGGAAGGAAAGATCTGACAGCTGGATAGATCTCATAACAGGATAAAGAGAAGTATAGACCAAGTGAGTTTGGTCAAACTACTATACATTTTGTCAGCAGGATTTTTATACATAATCTACCAGGAATCATTCAACTGTAGAGTTTCATAATTTTCAAAGATTCTCTGGGTTACACAGAGTTTGAGAGGAAAGTTGATATAGCACTAGAGTATGTGAAAGGCCTGTGTAGAATACGGAAGTAATAATGCTTCGTGTTAGTTGGTGTGGTGTGGACAGCCTGTGTTCATTGGTTGTGAAGGGGGCCTATGGTAGCTGGTGTGGTGTGGAGAGCCTGTGTTCATTGGTGTGGTGAAGGGGGCCTGTGTTAGCTGTTGTGTTGTGGAGGATCTGTGTAAGCTGGTTTGGTGTGGAGAGCCTGTGTTAGCTGGTTTGGTGTGGAGAGCCTGTGTTAGCTGGTGTTGTGTGGAGAGCCTGTGTTAGTTGGTTTGGTGTGGAGAGCCTGTGTTAGCTGGTATGGTGTGGAGAGCCTGTGTTAGCTGGTGTGGTGTGGAGAGCCTGTGTTTGCTGGTTTGGTGTGGAGAGCCTGTGTAAGCTGGTTTGGTGTGGAGAGCCTGTGTAAGCTTGTTTGGTGTGGAGGGCCTGTGTTAGCTGGTGTGGTGTGGAGAGCCAGTGTTTGCTGGTGTTTTGTGGAGAGCCTGTGTTAGCTGGTGTTGTGTGGAGGGCCTGTGTTAGCTGGTATGGTGTGGAAAGCCTGTGTTTGCTGGTGTTTTGTAGAGAGCCTGTGTTAGCTGGTGTTGTGTGGAGGGCCTGTGTTAGCTGGTATGGTGTGGAGAGCCTGTGTTAGCTGGTGTGGTGTGGAGAGCCTGTGTTAGCTGGTGTGGTGTGGAGAGCCTGTGTTAGCTGGTGAAAGGTTTAAGGTGCTCCAGTTGTATCTCTAGTGCTATACGTTGCTCCATGACTTCCTGAAGCTCCTGGTTGAGTTCGCTGTTGAGGCGCTCCAACATTGTATTTCTCTCTTTGTGGGTTCGTATTGCCATTTGTAGATCTTTCTTATCACGACTGACTTGTCTGTAAAACAGGTAACAATATGTTCTATATAATGAACCAAGCACAGAAATGTACTAACAAAAGTATACCATATACAGATCATGATGAAACATGTTTATTTGAAACATTATTTTTGGATTATATTTTGCTAAGAGAAACATAACATTCCCTTTATATGGCACTAAATATCCTTGCTTTAATGATGATTCCAAAAGAAATGGACATAAATCCAATCAACATTTCCCCATTAGTTCTTTTTCTCCTTCTTACAGAGGGTGTTCACTGTCTTCCATTTACAAAATCCTTTCTGATATTTCAGTACTCAAAATCTCTTTATCTATCTTTTCAACTCCTCAAAAGGTGTTACCTCTATTTCCTATGTTTGGTGAAGTCCTATACTTTTGGAGGGACACGTACCTCCATTTACATAAAGCTGTTTCTCTTTTAAAGTCTACATGGAATTAGGCGTAATAGTTTTGTGCAGGTGTAGTACATTAGTACAGTTTTAAAGGAAAATTTGATCAATGTGAATGACACATAATGGACATAATATATATTATAACATATTGAACACTGGACAAGGTGATCTAACCATTTCGTAAAATATGTTGATGGTGATTTAATTAGATGACATTGTTTAATTCTGAACAGATCATGCTTACCTCATAGCAAATATAGGTGCCCTCTGTTTCTCCCCACTTCCTGCCTCATCTTCAGTGGGGAGGTCGAAGGTCACACCAGGGGAGGTAACCTGTATTACCAGTTAAAAAAATTGTTAAGAACAAAGCCTATAAAACATACTAATTTTTTGTAAATACAACCAACCAGTATATATAGTGCCTACCTGTAGTAATCTGTCTAGTGACTGTCTACAGTGACTACCTACAGTAATCTGTCTAGTGACTGTCTACAGTGACTGCCTACAGTAATCTGTCTAGTGACTGTCTCGTGACTGCCTACAGTAATCTGTCTAGTGACTGTCTCGTGACTGTCTACAGTGACTGCATGTATATAGTGACTACCTGTAGCAATCTGTCTAGTGACTGTCTACAGTGACTGCAAGTCTATAGTGACTACCTGTAGTAATCTGTCTACAGTGACTGTATGTCTATAGTGACTACCTGTAGTAATCTGTCTAGTGACTCTCTAGTGACTGTCTACAGTGACTGCATGTCTATAGTGATTACCTATAGTAATCTGTCTAGTGACTGCATGTTTAGTGACTGTCTACAGTGACTACATGTCTATAGTGACTACCTACAGTAATCTGTCTAGTGACTGTCGACAGTGACTCTCTAGTGACTCCCTACAGTGACTTTATGTCTACAGTGACTACCTATAGTAATCTGTCTAGTGACTGTCTACAGTGACTACCTACAGTGGTTGTCTAGTGACTGTCTACAGTGACTGTGTCTACAGTGACTACCTATAGTAATCTGTCTCATGACTGTCTACGGTGACTGCATGTCTACAGTGACTAACTGTAGTAATCTGTCTAGTGAGTGTCTTCAGTGACTGTCTACAGTGACTGCATGTCTATAGTGACTACCTATACTAATCTGTCTTGTGACTGTCTACAGTGACTATCTACAGCGACTGCATGTCTACAGTGACTACATACAGTAATCTGTCCAGTGACTGCATGTCTAGTGACTGTCTACAGTGACTACATGTCTATAGTGACTACCTATAGTAATCTGTCTTGTGACTGTCTACAGTAACAATACCACACAGCTTTTTAAACACAGGAAAACAATGACAAATAGTTTTATAAACACAGGTAACCATAAAAACATACAGTTTTATAAACACAGGTAATGATAACACATTAAACACAAGTAACCATAAAAACATACAGGTTTATAAACACAGGTAATGATAACACATTAAACACAAGTAACCATAAAAACATACAGGTTTATAAACACAGGTAATGATAACACATTAAACACAAGTAACCATAAAAACATACAGGTTTATAAACACAGGTAATGATAACACATTAAACACAAGTAACCATAAAAACATACAGGTTTATAAACACAGGTAATGATAACACACTTATAAACACAGGTATATAGTGTTAATGACTGACCTTCACACTGCCTGTGGATGTTGTGTTGTCTGCAACAAGAAATTATCAGTGTAAATAGATTTATAGTATACATATATATTTATCACAGAATAAAGAAGATTAAAATCAAATCATCATTGACTTCTTTTATTTCCCTTATATTAATCCTGACCCAATTATAAAGAAAACTGTCTCACCTCCAGACTCTGGTCCCTGGGATACACTGGGTTCCTGTTAATTAGATAATTAACACATTCATCATGTACATCTGATATATATACTACCTACATAGATATACAAAGAACAATCTAACCTCGGAGAGACAACCAAACTACCTCAAAAACATTTACTTCTTTTATATAAATTAATTCCAATGAATGGCTTAGAAACCTGTATATATAGATGTTTTTTCCTTTTTCCTTTTCTTGATTTGTTGGGCTTTGACCTAGAAACACCTTTCCACTAATCATCATGCCTCTTCAGCTTTTGATTAGTCAAAAAACAAGATGTTTAAAGGTTTGAACAAATTTAACCCTTGTGACTTTGAATGAAGGTCAAGGTCATTATTTTCACAAATATTGTTGGGCTTCATCTTGGGAATCTATCACCCAAACACCATGCTTCTGTGTCCTTTGGTTATTCAAAAGAAATCTTACAAAACTTTTGAACAAATTTGACCCCTGTGACCTTGAACATGAATCAAGGTGATTTCTTTTTGCAAACTTTTTCAGGCTTCATCCTAAGAACATGCGAGTCAAATATCATGCCTCTAGGCCTTTTAGTTCATGAGAAGTATTTCAAATATTTTTAAAAAACTGATCTCTGTGTCCATGAACAAAGGTCAAAGTAAATTCTTTTTCCAAAGTTTGTCACACTCCATGCTAGGAACATACCACCTAAATATCACTCTCTCTGCCTTTCAGTTCATGAGAAGAAGTTGTTTAAAGCTTTTAACAAATTTGACCCCTGTGACCTTGAACAAAGGTCAAGGTCATTTATTTTCACAAACTTTGTCAGGAGTCATGCCAGGAACATACTAGCCAAATATCAAAAATTTGGTCCACTGGTTACTGGGAAGAAGTGTTCAAAGGAAAAACAAAACAAAACGGCCGAATGTGGGACGACAGACTCTACACCATAGCATAAGCTCTCTTGGCCCTTCCGACCGGTGAAGCTAACAATTACGAACTAATATGAAGTTGTTCCTTAACAAGCGAATTCAGATTCAGAACCAAAACAAAGTTTTGTGTATAAATTTTAAGTGGTAACCAACTCAACTCTTTTGTGCATTAGAGGACTTCACACTTTGTAAAGCAAGACTAACCTGTTTTGTGTAGTAGAAGAGTTATCCCTTTTGTGTAATAAAACCCATCAGTTTTGCATAGTAAATCACTCACAAGTTTTGTATAAAAGACTAACCTGTTGTTTTGAAAACAGTTATGTATAGACTACTTAGTCTTGCACAACAGAAATTTCACCAGTTTCCTATAGTAACAGACTCAACGTTTTGTGAGATAAAAGACTCATAAGTTTTGTAAAGTAAAAGGATCACAGATTTTTTGTAGAGAAGACTCATGAGTTTTGTGTAGAAGACTCACCAGTTTTGTGTAATCTTGTGAGAGATTTCGGCGTGTTCTGTCAGAATCCTCCACCGACCCATCAACAGAATCTATCTCAGGAAGGACTAAAACTTCTTGTGAAGGAATTGACTCGAACTTTTTAAATTCTGGAAATTTACTTTTTTTATCTGATGCTATTACTGCTCCATCAGCTGATCGTCGATAGGCAGGACTCTGGAAATATACATACATTATATACACTGTACCTAACATCCACTGTATACACTGTACATAACATACACTGTACCTAACATACACTATATACACTGTACCTATCATACACTGTATACACTGTACCTAACATACACTGTATACACTGTACCTAACATACACTGTATACACTGTACCTAACATACACTGTACCTAACATACACTGTATACACTGTAACTAACATACACTGTATACACTGTACCTAACATACACTGTATACACTGTACCTAACATCCACTGTATACACTGTAACTAGCATACACTGTATATACTGTACCTAACATACACTGTACCTATCATACACTATATACACTGTATCTATCATACACTGTATATACTGTACCTATCATACACTGTATACACTGTGCCTATCATACACTGTACCTATCATACACTGTATACACTGTACCTATCATACACTATATACACTGTACCTATCATACACTGTACCTATCATACACTGTATACACTGTACCTATCATACACTACATACACTGTACCTATCATACACTGTACCTATCATACACTGTATACACTGTACCTATCATATACTACATACGCTGTACCTATCATACACTGTACCTATCATACACTGTACCTAACATACACTGTATACACTGTACCTATCATACACTGTACCTAACATACACTGTACCTATCATACACTGTATACACTGTACCTTACATACACTGTACCTAACATACAGTGTACCTAACATACACTGTACCTAACATACACTGTACCTATCATACACTGTACGAAACATATACTATATATACTGTACCTATCATACACTGAGTACACTGTACCTAACATACAGTGTAACTAACATACAGTGTATCTAACATACACTGTACCTAACATACACTGCGATAGGCAGGACTCTGGAAATATAAATACACTATATACACTGTACCTAACATACACTGTACCTAATATACAGTGTACCTAACATACACTGTACCTAATATACACTGTACCTAACATACACTGTACCTAATATACAGTGTACCTAACATACACTGTACCTAATATACAGTGTACCTAACATACACTGTACCTAATATACACTGTACCTAACATACACTGTACCTAACATACACTGCGATAGGCAGGACTCTGGAAATATAAATACACTATATACACTGTACCTAACATACACTGTACCTAATATACAGTGTACCTAACATACACTATAGAAAATGTGATTTCCACAAAAGTATACCCTGTCTTTTAATTTAATAACTATTAACCAATTTTTGTCTAATACTTGGGGCCAATACTTACATCTTTGGGTGAAGTTCTCGGAGGAACAGCTGGTGGTGTAGAAAGACCTGTACATAATATAGTATTTATGTTAATCGCCAACAAAAATTTTTTTCTGGAGATATTTAGACAAAAAAATGTTTCAAACAGAAATAAAATAATTTTTTATCTTCGAGATAAGAAACAAAACTATCTTTTTCTAATCTTCCAGATTCAGGAAAACTGGATTTAGTAAAAGATATATGAACATGACCCTCTTAAAAGGAAGCATGTACTTATAATGTTGATGCCGAGAAGCTACAAACCTATACCAATGAGATCCACAGACAGACTACGGCCATGTGGCTGAGCTCCCGGCCGAGGAGGAGGACGAGGGGGTTCCTGGTTGACAACATTATCTAGACTGTGAGTAGATGATAATGGCGGTCGATCCCCTTCTCCAGAGCTAGGTTGACTAGTAACAGGAACTGGTATCAGGAGACCGCCAACACCTCCTGGTACTAGAAAAGTTATCAAAGGGAGGTAATAACTGATCTATATTGAGTGGACTAGATTTTACGGTTATCCTACATGTAAGTTTGTTTTTTGTTCTCTTCCAGGGTAAGTAGTACACATCTCACCATTTATTCTTGTTTGTCGTGTCAGAAAAACATTATATTGAATAAGCTGAATCATATTTTTGGCTATTTTGTGAATACAAAACTTATGTTTTTTAGTAATTCAATATATAAGGTACATTTCTGACAAATGAAAGGGATATTCTGTCCAAGATGCAAAATTTCTGACTGTTCAATCCCTTGTAGGACTCATTCTAATGACTTTAGTTTATTATCATACTATTGTTAATATGAAAATCTCTCCTGTGGTCAGTTTGGACAGGTGAAATTGGAGGGAATCCTCCCAGTCAAATCATCTAAATATAGTACATCAGGATATCCCAAACTGAAAAGTCACTGAATCATATGTTCCAGTCTATCCTACCTTATAGTTTTAATTCATTTACAAAGTCTTACATGTATTCTTGTCTATAGCAAACTCCAACATGTCAGTCGTATTATTTCCCTAACAATACAGGGTACCTCACAAACTTTAAACATTGAGTTGAGTGGAGTGTGTTTTGTCAAAAAGCTAAAAAAAATGGGAGATAAAATGTCCATAAAAATCTACATTTCAACAGGTAACTTTCACTATACACTAGACAGCTATATCTTCAATATCTAATTCCATCACAAAAGTCACAACTTTTCAAACAAATACTGAAACTCAAATGAAAGTAAAGAGTGTTTAGGGGATTCTTCATGCAGTCAGACAAGCAACATGCCAACAGAAGTCTTCAACACCACCAACATCAGAAGTATGTACCACTCAATCATGCATACTACTGCCTCGGTCACGGACAACTACATACAAAGTAAAATTTGAAAGTCTTATCCATTTAACAGTAGAAACATTTGAAATGTCCTGTATGGTTGTTGATCATCTGGGGAGGATAGTTTAACCCTTAATTATTAAAACTGTTCACAACATAACTAAGAATCCCAAATGACTTTTAATATCAGCATCAATGATATTATCATCATGTAATCCCTAGATGTGTAACTCAGCTGGATTTACAAAGAAATATCAGCTCTCAGTTTGATATACCATGATACATAATTTCTAAGCTTTATAAAGCCCGAGATTCAAGCTCTCAATATGATGTCTTTCTCTAGATAAAAAGCTCCCAACCAATTGTAGATAGTACCACTAGTATATAAGCTTTTTCTAAGCTTTATAAAGCCCGAGATTCAAGCTCTCAATATGATGTCTTTCTCTAGATAAAAAGCTCCCAACCAACTGTAGATAGTACCACTAGTATATAAGCTTTTTCTAAGCTTCATATAGCCCGAGATTCAAGCTCTCAATATGATGTCTTTCTCAAGATAAAAAGCTCCCAACCAACTGTTGTGTCCTTTATATCCCAGCTCCCAGTCTGATGAGATATTACTCCTATCACTAAGTGTTCTTTATATTCTACCTCCCAGACTGATGAGATATTACTCCTATCACTAAGTGTCTAGATTCCAGCTCCCAGACTGATGAGATATTACTCCTATCACTAAGTGTCCTTTATATTCCACCTCCCAGTCTGATGAGATATCACTCCTATCACTAAGTGTCCTTTATATTCCAGCTCCCAGTCTGATGAGATATTACTCCTATCACTAAGTGTCTAGATTCCAGCTCCCAGACTGATGAGATATTACTCCTATCACTAAGTGTCCTTTATATTCCAGCTCCCAGCTTGATGAGATATTACTCCTATCACTAAGTGTCCTTTATATTCCACCTCCCAGACTGATGAGATATTACTCCTATCACTAAGTGTCTAGATTCCACCTCCCAGCTTGATGAGATATTACTCCTATCACTAAGTGTCCTTTATATTCCAGCTCCCAGACTGATGAGATATTACTCCTATCACTAAGTGTCCTTTATATTCCACCTCCCAGACTGATGAGATATTACTCCTATCACTAAGTGTCCTTTATATTCCACCTCCCAGACTGATGAGATATTACTCCTATCACTAAGTGTCCTTTATATTCCAGCTCCCAGACTGATGAGATATTACTCCTATCACTAAGTGTCCTTTATATTCCACCTCCAAGTTTGATGAGATATTACTCCTATCACTAAGTGTCCTTTATATTCCAGCTCCCAGTTTGATGAGATATTACTCCTATCACTAAGTGTCTAGATTCCAGCTCCCAGTCTGATGAGATATTACTCCTATCACTAAGTGTCTAGATTCCAGCTCCCAGACTGATGAGATATTACTCCTATCACTAAGTGTCTAGATTCCAGCTCCCAGTCTGATGAGATATTACTCCTATCACTAAGTGTCCTTTATATTCCACCTCCCAGACTGATGAGATATTACTCCTATCACTAAGTGTCCTTTATATTCCACCTCCCAGACTGATGAGATATTACTCCTATCACTAAGTGTCCTTTATATTCCACCTCCCAGACTGATGAGATATTACTCCTATCACTAAGTGTCCTTTATATTCCACCTCCCAGTCTGATGAGATATTACTCCTATCACTAAGTGTCCTTTATATTCCAGCTCCCAGTTTGATGAGATATTACTCCTATCACTAAGTGTCTAGATTCCAGCTCCCAGTCTGATGAGATATTACTCCTATCACTAAGTGTCTAGATTCCAGCTCCCAGACTGATGAGATATTACTCCTATCACTAAGTGTCCTTTATATTCCAGCTCCCAGTCTGATGAGATATTACTCCTATCACTAAGTGTCTAGATTCCAGCTCCCAGACTGATGAGATATTACTCCTATCACTAAGTGTCCTGATGAGATATTACTCCTATCACTAAGTGTCCTTTATGTTCCAGCTTGATGATATATTCCACCTCCCAGACTGATGAGATATTACTCCTATCACTAAGTGTCTAGATTCCAGCTCCCAGACTGATGAGATATTACTCCTATCACTAAGTGTCCTTTATATTCCACCTCCCAGACTGATGAGATATTACTCCTATCACTAAGTGTCCTTTATATTCCACCTCCCAGACTGATGAGATATTACTCCTATCACTAAGTGTCCTTTATATTCCACCTCCCAGACTGATGAGATATTACTCCTATCACTAAGTGTCCTTTATATTCCAGCTCCCAGACTGATGAGATATTACTCCTATCACTAAGTGTCCTTTAGATTCCAGCTCCCAGACTGATGAGATATTACTCCTATCACTAAGTGTCCTTTATATTCCACCTCCAAGTTTGATGAGATATTACTCCTATCACTAAGTGTCTAGATTCCAGCTCCCAGACTGATGAGATATTACTCCTATCACTAAGTGTCCTTTATATTCCAGCTCCCAGACTGATGAGATATTACTCCTATCACTAAGTGTCCTTTATATTCCAGCTCCCAGACTGATGAGATATTACTCCTATCACTAAGTGTCCTTTATATTCCAGCTCCCAGACTGATGAGATATTACTCCTATCACTAAGTGTCCTTTATATTCCAGCTCCCAGACTGATGAGATATTACTCCTATCACTAAGTGTCCTTTATATTCCAGCTCCCACACTGATGAGATATTACTCCTATCACTAAGTGTCCTTTATATTCCAGCTCCCAGTTTGATGAGATATTACTCCTATCACTAAGTGTCCTTTATATTCCACCTCCCAGACTGATGAGATATTACTCCTATCACTAAGTGTCTAGATTCCAGCTCCCAGACTGATGAGATATTACTCCTATCACTAAGTGTCCTTTATATTCCACCTCCAAGTTTGATGAGATATTACTCCTATCACTAAGTGTCCTTTATATTCCACCTCCCAGACTGATGAGATATTACTCCTATCACTAAGTGTCCTTTATATTCCACCTCCCAGACTGATGAGATATTACTCCTATCACTAAGTGTCCTTTATATTCCAGCTCCCACACTGATGAGATATTACTCCTATCACTAAGTGTCCTTTATATTCCAGCTCCCAGTCTGATGAGATATCACTCCTATCACTAAGTGTCCTTTATATTCCAGCTCCCACACTGATGAGATATTACTCCTATCACTAAGTGTCCTTTATATTCCAGCTCCCACACTGATGAGATATTACTCCTATCACTAAGTGCCCTTTATATTCCAGCTCCCAGACTGATGAGATATCACTCCTATCACTAAGTGTCCTTTATATTCCAGCTCCCAGACTAATGAGATATTACTCCTATCACTAAGTGTCCTTTATATTCCAGCTCCCAGACTGATGAGATATTACTCCTATCACTAAGTGTCCTTTATATTCCACCTCCCAGACTGATGAGATATTACTCCTATCACTAAGTGTCCTTTAGATTCCAGCTCCCACACTGATGAGATATTACTCCTATCACTAAGTGTCCTTTATATTCCACCTCCCAGTTGGATGAGATATTACTCCTATCACTAAGTGTCCTTTAGATTCCAGCTCCCACACTGATGAGATATTACTCCTATCACTAAGTGTCCTTTATATTCCACCTCCCAGACTGATGAGATATTACTCCTATCACTAAGTGTCCTTTAGATTCCAGCTCCCACACTGATGAGATATTACTCCTATCACTAAGTGTCCTTTAGATTCCAGCTCCCACACTGATGAGATATTACTCCTATCACTAAGTGTCCTTTATATTCCAGCTCCCAGACTGATGAGATATTACTCCTATCACTAAGTGTCCTTTATATTCCAGCTCCCAGTCTGATGAGATATTACTCCTATCACTAAGTGTCCTTTATATTCCAGCTCCCAGACTGATGAGATATTACTCCTATCACTAAGTGTCCTTTATATTCCAGCTCCCAGTCTGATGAGATATTACTCCTATCACTAAGTGTCCTTTATATTCCAGCTCCCAGTTTGATGAGATATTACTCCTATCACTAAGTGTTCTTTATATTCCACCTCCCAGACTGATGAGATATTACTCCTATCACTAAGTGTCTAGATTCCAGCTCCCACACTGATGAGATATTACTCCTATCACTAAGTGTCCTTTATATTCCAGCTCCCAGACTGATGAGATATTACTCCTATCACTAAGTGTCCTTTATATTCCAGCTCCCAGACTGATGAGATATTACTCCTATCACTAAGTGTCCTTAAGATTCCACCTCCCAGTGATGTATATAATTCGCTACCAAAGAAAAGTGATCCAACATGTTAGGTCCATGTAACAGGAACTGTTTGATATTTATTGAGGGGATCTGTGATGGGTTATCATTCTTGTAAGTACGAATTTCTGTGATACCTATTTTATAAACTCTGATAATAGTGAAAACTTTATCTCTTACAATCCCTGCCTAACAAGACTTTTAATTTCTGTGATACCTATTTATGAACCCTGATAATAGTGAATAATGATACCCTATAATTACCTTTCTATGATGCCCTATGGTTCATACTTGAATAAAACTGATTTGCAAGGTTATTCCAACAATACATAAAAATACTTGGAATATAATTAATCTAAGTTGTTGTGGTATCATCTGTTTGATCACTGTACCTGTATTGGTTTTCTTTGGAACTGGCCTTGGCCTACTGACAAGAGTTATCTGCCCTTGACTAGCAGGCGCAGTTTTGCTGCCAGTGCCAACTTCATTTTGTTGGACGGTAGTTGTTTCAGCAGTATAATTAGTCTCAGTGTTGGACCGCTGTTTGGTTGTCACAGTTACCGTGGTGATAGTAGTGGCAGCGGTGGACATGTTAGGATCATTCTGCAAGGATTCTGATTGGTCGGGAAATGAAGTGTCAACAAGTGGGGCCGGCTCTGGAAACATTCAGACACCAAATGTGCAAGAAATAGAGACCAAGCAAACGACAGCCAACAGAACACAGTAAGTTCTGGCTAGATTGTTCTAACATCAAACATACATCAGCAACCAACTTTACTGGGTGTGTTCAAAATGATTCTATAATCCTAAAAAATTTTTGAAATGCAACTATGAAAACTGATTATCTGAAAGTTAAGCTTTACAGGGAATATTCTGAAAGATAAGAATAATGAGTCAATTTCATCAATTATAGTTAATATAAGAAATAAAAGGGGCCATTTTATGCGAAATTTAAAGACAATGAAATATGGGGGTTAAATTAATTTTTGTGGTCATTGTCCCCTTGACCCCCTCAGATGATCCTTGTGGTTCATGTTCCCTTGGTAATCTGCATGTAATATTTTGTTTGTGTTCCAATGGTAACTTTACAGGTATGTAAAATCTGACATCTGTGTTACAACAGTAACCTTACAATTATGTAATATTTTATCTTTGTTTTCCCATGGTAACCTTCAACGTATGTAATATTTTAAGTTTGTGTTGCAATAGTAACATTACAAAATATTCACTATTGTGTTTTGTGTTCCTATAGTAACCATACAGTATGTAATATTTCAAGCTTGTGTTCCTATGGTAACCTTACGAAGAGTAAACATTCTCACTTTTCAGCTTAGCTGTCACAGAATCAATTTGTTGTTCATACTAAATAAACCCCAAACTTGTTCAGTAATCATGTAAGTAATTTATCTATGTATCATCACGTGATGATATCTCAAGAAAAAAAAACTCTTTTCAAACAGTTAGAACAATCTGACCATACAACCCTTCCTTTCCTTCATGCAACATTCTGTTTTGTTCAATGAAAAGCTAAGGAACAGCTTCATTTAAATCAATATATGTCAAAATTAAATCAATATCTGATTCTAAACAGAATTTGTCAAGGATACAGATAAATTATTAGAAAACTCAACTTCCTGAAATTTAAACAAAACAATACAATTACAATTCAAAAGTAGGAATTCCATGCATCTAAACATGCAATCTAAAAGTGATAAGGTTCTACCATGCACTCATTTAGTTATTTGTAAACAGGGTTCTTCTGAACAAAGATAAAAACGGAATGACAAGGTTCTAACAAGTAATCTTATATAGCTATCAGTAAATTGGGTACCTCTGTAAAGAGACCAGAATAGAGTAACAAGGTTCTAACAAGTAATGTTATATAGCTATCAGTAAACAGGGTACCTCTGTAAAGAGACCGAAACAGAATGACAAGGTTCTAACAAGTAATGTTATATAGCCATCAGTAAACAGGGTACCTCTGTAAAAAGACTGGAACAGAGTGACAAGGTTCTAACAAGTAATGTTCTATAGATAACAGTAAACAGGGTACCTCTGTAAAGAGACCGGAACAGAATGACAAGGTTCTAACAAGTAATGTTCTCTAGATATCAGTAAACAGGGTACCTCTGTAAGGAGACCAGAATAGAGTGACAAGGTTCTAACAAGTAATGTTATATAGCCATCAGTAAACACTGTGCTCTGGTCATTTACTATGTATAAATGATCCCTTTCCTTTTTTTAATGTTTTATTGCCAAAGCAAGATAATTCCTGTGTCTTACAATCTCAATATGCTGACCAATAGGAAGTAAAACATTTCCACAAAATCAATGTTGTCAATTTGTTTAATCAAGGTGCCTCAAGGGAGGCAACTCTTCTTAAACTTCTACAGTAATGTCTCTGTATAAACACTGAATGCAGTTCTAGACAGGCAACTACACAAGCCATAATTCCTGACGGTCATTGTGGAATAGAATTACTTTACTTTACACTCAATAATAAGCTTCAAGCTAAGCAGAGACACCAAGAGATAGTGTGACAGACAAGAAACAGAGTCTCTTTTCCTACATGTATCTAAATCATCCATTCCTTTCTGTTTAAAATCATTGACTAATTTAGTGTCATTTTTCTTGTCTGAATTTTAGTATAATTCAACTCCACCATTAATTGTATCTATAGAAGTTTTATTTCTTTGCAAAAATCAGACTAAAATCACTTAATTAACTTACGATTTTTGTGAATACTTCGTGATACACAATGTAGAATTTTTGTGATACACAATGTAGAATTTTTGTGTGTACTTTGTGACACACAATGTAGAATTTTTGTGTATACTGAGAATATATTTTGTGATATACTTCACAGCCTTTTTACAACATAAGATATCCTTTACACTAATAGATCATTATCAACTATGTTGTAAGTTCTTCCTTTCTAGATCTTTGACATCCAGTAGCTCACTGTTCACTGTTAATGTTCATCAGAAGTAAAGTGAGAAGAGATAGAAAGAGTTAGTAGAAAGCCGCATACACTAGCAGCCACAATACCTGAAAACGCCCTACCCCTTTCCACACCCTCGGGTGGGTACCGTTGACTCTCCGGAGACATTCTCACTGGTACAGGCTGCACAATTTTGGCTTCCTGTAGGGCAAAATGTCAATAAATCTTCAATATACTTGTGTGATGATATATGTGTAAGGTAGTGTATCACTGACTCTACATAAACCAATACGGATGATCACAACAAGTATAAATCATATCACTTTACAAACGTTTAAAACATTCAGTCTTCCTGCAACATGTCAGACCACAATCTATATGTACAGTATTCTAACACTATCACTGGAACAGCCCTTGTAAAAATCCCTTTTTTCAATAAATGTGTAAATTTTTAACAAGAATGAGTAGAACAGAGTAGACACTCAAACCCAGATTTACTGAATAAACACTAACAGGATCTGAGGGTACCGGTTTGGAGAATTCAAAGTTGGCAGGTTTGATGCTGGGTGAGGACATCTCGCTAGAGGTCTGGGGCGATTCCTGGATCAGGGACTGGGCCCAATGGGCACCTCCACTCTGCTGGGCTGGAGGCGATGAGGGGGGCGTAGTCCGTTTCAGCGTACTTCCGGGAGGCAGGTCTGCAGCGAATGGCTCCTCTACAATATCCGAGAAAATAAAAACAAAATTACATTTTGGAAGAGGAAGTTGATATAAAAATATATTTTAGTGAAGGACAATGCAATCTGTCTGATATTGACAGTTTTTATTGACTGTCCTAAAGCTTCACTCCCTGTAAAAATCATAGTTATATGTGTCATTGAAGAGATCCTACACAAAGGGTCATCCTGATCAAACATAGAGTAAAATTAGGGGGAAGTTTTACTGTTGTCACATTGATCTGATTGAGAAATATTCTATTTCTGTGTGTGATATTAAGCTTGAACCTCTTTTGAGAATTTGACACGATTTCCTTGGACTGACCAAGGTTTACATGGCATGTGTCGTTGACAAAGCAGAAGATGCTTCATCTTCTGGAACACCTAGTATTATTTTCCTTGTACCTTTTTGAAAGTCTCTGTGTAAATCGTTCTTGTTCAAATTTTGCCCTAGTTTTATTGAATTTGAGTTTGGATTATGACATATTGGTATTTTCTTGTATTCTATAGTAGTGTATGGTACTATATGTACTACCTATAACAGACTTACCATTGGTAAAAGCAGAGTATGGCATGAGAGAGAATGGAAGTCGATCTGGTAGCTCAATATCATTTCTCCGTAATACCACTAAATGCATAGCTATACAGAACTCCTCTAGTGATAACGCACCATCACGATTCAAATCAGACAGTTGCCTACAAAAGACAGGGTCAATGTTAGAGATGTAGAAACAATGGTAGTCTACATACAAATTACATTCCTTAAAGTATGTCAGTTTCTAGCTCGGTAACAAAACTTGGATAATTATAAATTTGACATAAAATATCTACACTGCAATGGCTCAATCCTACATACAATGACTCGTACTGATTATTTTTAAGACAAATATCACTTGTAAACTTCATTTTATACAAAGCATCATGAAAGCTGGAAATTAGCTGTTTCTTTGAACCTTGATTTTATTAACAATGATTATGTTTCATCACTGCAGTGAAATGTGTTTGATTGTAACACATAATACTGGTAATTATACAAACATTGACAAATTTCATCAATTAAGAGTAAATATCATTCTGTCTGTTTGGCAGGTACTAAAGATTATACAGAAGATACGAAAGTAAACAACACATTTCAATACAAAGACAGAAATAGATATCTTAGTGATAAATAACCAACTTCATCATAAAGCTGTAAACCTCCTAATTCTTTCATCACTAAATCCTATCAATTTTCACACAAAATCTGGCAACTCATTTACAAAACCTCATATCATATTTCTCAGTAATCTACTAATTTTTAGATACTACATCTCCTGTCCACCACAAGTCTCTACTACATCTCCTGTCCACCACAAGTCTCTACTACATCTCCTGTCCACCACAAGTCTCTACTACATCTCCTGTCCACCACAAGTCTCTACTACATCTCCTGTCTACCACAGGTCTCTACTACATCTCCTGTCTACCACAGGTCTCTACTACATCTCCTGTCCACCACAAGTCTCTACTATATCTCCTGTCCACCACAAGTCTCTACTATATCTCCTGTCCACCACAAGTCTCTACTACATCTCCTGTCCATCACAAGTCTCTACTATATCTCCTGTCCACCACAAGTCTCTACTACATCTCCTGTCTATCACACATCTCCTGTCCATCACAAGTCTCTACTACATCTCCTGTCCACCACAAGTCTCTACTACATCTCCTGTCTACCACAGGTCTCTACTACATCTCCTGTCCACCACTGGTCTCTACTACATCTCCTGTCCACCACAAGTCTCTACTATATCTCCTGTCCACCACTGGTCTCTACTACATCTCCTGTCCACCACAAGTCTCTACTATATCTCCTGTCCACCACTGGTCTCTACTACATCTCCTGTCCACCACTGGTCTCTACTACATCTCCTGTCCACCACAAGTCTCTACTACATCTCCTGTCTACCACAGGTCTCTACTACATCTCCTGTCCACCATGTCTCTACTACATCTCCTGTCCACCACAAGTCTCTACTATATCTCCTGTCCACCACTGGTCTCTACTACATCTCCTGTCCACCACAAGTCTCTACTATATCTCCTGTCCACCACTGGTCTCTACTACATCTCCTGTCCACCAATGGTCTCTACTACATCTCCTGTCCACCACTGGTCTCTACTACATCTCCTGTCCACCACAGGTCTCTACTATATCTCCTGTCCACCACAAGTCTCTTCTACATCTCCTGTCCTCCAAAGATGTACCATAGGTCTTTAGTACATCGTCAATGATGCTAAACCTTACCTTTTTTCTGCTATTTTTCATAGTTTAAGCAATTTTCTGATTGGTCAGTTTATCTCAAAAGACACCGAGTTTAGAAATCATACATACCAGATCTTTGATAATTCATGCACAGGTAGTTTTGACTTTTCGAAGAAATCTTTTGCAATGCCACCTACAAAGTTGTAAATACTATGTTATTTATCATTATCATATAAAATTTAACTTGAATTGTATTACACTTTTCCATTAAGGTGTTTCTACCATCTAATTAATAAACTGAAATAATCAGGTTAATAAATACATCAATCCATGATACAATTATCCTTGTATATCAAACAGGCAGATTCCACTTACATTGAGTATTTAAATATTATGAAGGTTTACAGACACTGCAGCTAGATAGAGACATAAGACACATGATAAACAGTTTTTTAAAGAGACTTTCTCCAGATCTATCTGAGTATGCACCACAAAGGCACTTTACCATTACCATCAAACTTTACGCCATGGTCAAACTAATCAATAATGACCTGGATGACCTTGAGACTTACCTAATATTGCACCACCAAGGTCTGGTTGCATGATTTGGAATTGTTTGACATAGTAATCTCTTTGTTCTTCATTAATGCTCCAGATATCGTCGACACTCTCTGGGTCAGAACTTATGGAGGAAGAATCAAACCCAGGTGCTTCTAGATTGTAGGTTTTCTTAGGACCTGTACCCAGTAACCCTGTGGGAAACCAAACACAGCACAAGTCAGGATTACAATATGTAATCAGTATTCAGGGTAAGTTTTCTTAGGACCTGTACCCAGTAACCCTGTGGGAAACCAAACACAGCACAAGTCAGGATCATAAAAAGTAATCAATATTCAGGGTAGGTTTCCTCATAGAATAATCTGTTTTTAAAGTTTGTTAAAAACAATTTTATTTGCGAAATTGATCAGTATAGCAAGGGATAAATGAGTGTGAAAGTAAATGTATAGATATGTACACTGGTATATAACAATAAGTATTGTGAGTAAATGCTCTCCTGTGTGAGGTAAAATAACCATATATAGACTGACTCCTGGGCCTTAACCCTGCATGGACAATCCCTTCTACTGTCTGGAAAATAAACATTACTTTGTCTACTAAAAAAAAAAACAGAAAATAAATAACACCAAATAATTTGATACTAAAAAAATCATGTGAAATGTCTATATTATGTCACCCATGGTTTCTGTCCTACACAGAGAGATTTCTCTAATGTAAAACATGTGTATATACGGAAAGTGCTTTCTATCAAAACAGATCTATGTTTATTGTTTCTGCTCAATAAACATTCATAATGCCAATTCAGAGCTGAAAAATATCAAAGCACACTTTCATTTTGTGGTGGCTAAATCTTTGGACAGTATCTCTGAAGAGACAGAAACACAGCCCAAACTTTACAAAATGTCTCCTTATCTGAAATGTAAGTTCAGGCCTGGGTGTAAATTCATATTATTATCATACCGTTCTGCAGGGAAATTTCTCAACATTATTTATTCCAGTGTCTGTGTGACAGAGCAAGTGTAATGAAACTACTAACTTATTGAAAATCAATACAACATTTTAGTTAAAATCTGAATCCTTCCTGATATCATTACCACAAAGAAATGGGATACATAATGGTATGTATGCTGTTTGTCCTTGTCGATGCACACACAACACTCTCTGTGTTGGTCTAATGTAGCATGATTCTGACATCTAACACAAAGGAACAATGTACATTCTACTGATATTATATAGCTGATCAACATTTTCATTATAAAAACTTTTAACACTCAAACAGAATTACCAATGTTCTCTATGTTGTACATCAATGTTGCTGTAGTAAATGTTCTATAATTGACAGAAATAACATCTCATATCAGGATTACTGAAGTAAACGTCCTACATTTAACAGAAACAATGTCTCATATCAGGATTACTGAAGTACATGTCCTACACTTTACAGAAATAACATCTCATATCAGGATTACTGAAGTACATGTCCTACACTTTACAGAAATAACATCTCATATCAGGATTACTGAAGTAAATATTCTACAATTTACAGAAATTATGTCTCATATCAGGATTACTGAAGAAAATGTCCTACACTTTACAGAAATTATGTCTCATATCAGGATTACTGAAGTAAATATTCTACACTTTACAGAAATTATGTCTCATATCAGGATTACTGAAGTAAATATTCTACACTTTACAGAAATTATGTCTCATATCAGGATTACTGAAGAAAATGTCCTACACTTTACAGAAATAATGTCTCATATCAGGATTACTGAAGAAAATGTTGTACACTTTACAGAAAATGTCCTACACTTTACAGAAATTATGTCTCATATCAGGATTACTGAAGTAAATGTCCTACACTTTACAGAAATTATGTCTCATATCAGGATTACTGAAGAAAATGTCCTACACTTTACAGAAATTATGTCTCATATCAGGATTACTGAAGTAAATATTCTACACTTTACAGAAATTATGTCTCATATCAGGATTTACTGAAATAACATCTCATATCAGAAAATGTCCTACACTTAACAGAAATTATGTCTCATATCAGGATTACTGAAGAAAATGTCCTACACTTAACAGAAATTATGTCTCATATCAGGATTACTGAAGTAAATGTCCTACACTTAACAGAAATTATGTCTCATATCAGGATTACTGAAGAAAATGTCCTACATTTAACAGAAACAATGTCTCATATCAGGATTACTGAAGTAAATGTTCTATTCTTAACAGAAATGTCTCATATCAGGATTGGTAAAGTAGATATTCTTATACCTAACAGAATCTATGTGGTATGAACACAAAGTATCTAAAATTATCACATTCTTTCCAATCAATAGAACAAAAAAGTCAATTGTTCTACAATAAGCTTGTATTTCTATATTTCATAGTAGAGACAGTAGATCCATAATGACCATCAAACATATATTTTGACCATTTGTCAACATGCAGAGATATAATAGTGCAACCATCTTACCATGGCATTCGCTGCCATCATCCTCAAATGACGCCCATCCAGCTTCATGAGTGGAATTCATTGAGTTAGCAACATAACCTGCTGGGGGCCCTCCACTCGGCCCCCCACTAGGTCCTGTTTGAATCGTGGTCTGGGCTCCACTTGGAATCACTGTGGGTGTGTTGGCTGGAAATGAGTTCTGATTGGCTGTCACCGGGACAACCACTGGAATGGTGGAAGCTGTTGGGATTGGTTGTATTGCATTCTGGGTAGGGGGTATGACTGGCGGAGAGGAGGGTGGAGATTGTTTCGGAGAGAAAGGTGGAGACTTTGCATTGTGTGGAGAATCGTCTCTAGAATTAATCTGAAATTGAAATTTAATTTCATGCTGAAAGTTTAATTCTATAGAGTGTAAGTCATGACCTACACTTAATTTTTGAATTGTACATATCATATCTATCCTATGATATACACAGAGGATAGCTTCCTACTCAAAATCAGGGGGTGGCTTTGTAACACAACAGCACTAGTTTGTAATTCTACTCATAAACATTATAAGCAGGTTTACAAACAGGTAAGGTCTTATTGTTGCTTGATTACTCAAGAATATATGGTATGAAAGCTTATCAATGATAGATTGGGAAAAATCTTAGTACACTTTCAAAAAAAGGTGGCCAAATGCTAACATGTCCATGATTATCAAGATTCTAAGACAGCCTGAAGGTGGATATACTCCTGTTTGTATGAGATATTAAAAGAGATGAATCCTACAAAGAGTAAATATAGAAACAGATGAGAGTGGTAGTTACCCCTTCAGCACTTACTAACCTGTCCCTGTTGGTCAACACTTCGGTACTGACCAGAGAGGTTGCGACTGTGGGATTTTTTGTTGGCAGGTGGGGGAGGAAGCTGACCAGCAGCTGTTTGCATTGGTTGTTGTGCACTTCCTTGGACAGGTGGCCTTTAATTGAAAAAAAAATTCAACATACAACTGTGGTAAACATATGACTGGGATCCACATCACACATGACTGAGATCCACATCACACATGATTGAGATCCACATCACACATGACTGAGGTCATCATTACACATGACTGAGATCCACATCACACATGACTGAGGTCATCCTTACACATGACTGACATCCACATCACACATGACTGAGATCCACATCACATCACATCACACATGACTGAGATCCACATCACACATGACTGAGATCCACATCACACATGATTGAGATCCACATCACACATGACTGAGGTCATCATTACACATGACTGACATCCACATCACACATGACTGAGATCCACATCACATCACATCACACATGACTGAGATCCACATCACACATGACTGAGATCCACATCACACATGACTGAGATCCACATCACACATGACTGAGATCCACATCACACATTACTGAGATCCACATCACACATGACTGACATCCACATCACACATGATTGAGATCCACATCACATCACATCACACATGACTGAGATCCACATCACACATGACCAACATCCACATCACACATGACCAACATCCACATCACACATGACTGAGATCCACATCACACATGACTGAGATCCACATCACACATGACTGACATCCACATGACACATGACTGACATCCACATCACATCACATCACACATGACTGACATCCACATGACACATGACTGAGGTAAATATCCTATATGCCTGATTTCAAAGATGAAGGTGCATACAGGTGACATTTTTTCAATGTAGGTTTATTACAAAACAAACAAAATCTGATTGTTGTAGAAAGGTTTATAAATATTTAAGTCTCTACCACTCATTTTACCACTACACATTTTATGTTACATGTTAATTTGACCTTTAAACTCTATAGATAGTTAATCCTATTGAGTAAGATTCTGTACAAATTTGGTCAAAATTCCTTTAGTAGCTCTGGGTTTCTAATCCTAATACAGACAAATGGAAGACAAGAGGTAAACATGTCGTCAAGCTCAATGACATTTTCTACAAGGTAGACTGAAATATCCATCAATGTCTTACAAACATATGTAAACACTTGTCTCACCAATGTTTTTTCAAGCTTATGTGTCAGGTAAACACAATCCTAACCACACAAACCCAATGTGTAAAACCTCCTACTTCACCACACACCAGCATAAACTTACACACACATCATCAACTTACTACAAAACTATAAAAAATCTTTTCTTCACTGCTCTTTTTCTCTCACCAATAAATTTCTTCAGATTTTCCTCAAGAAAGTAAACCCACAACATCAAATGTAAACCAAACACAGACTAATAATACTTCAAATGCCTTCTGTGATACACTGTGTGAAGCAACAAACAGAGAACTATCAGTGTACGAACCTCCCATCACACAGACAGTACAAACATCTAGTCTGGAGGGTCTGTGTCCTCCCATCACACAGACAGTACAAACATCTAGTCTGGACGGTCTGTGTCCTCATCACACAGACTGTACAAATATTTAGTCTGGAGGGTCTGTGTCCTCCTCATCACACACACAGACTGTACAAACATCTAGTCTGGAGGGTCTGTGTCCTCCCAACACACAGACTGTACAAACATCTAGTCTGAAGGGTCTGTGTCCTCCTCATCACACACAAAGACTGTACAAACATCTAGTCTGGAGGGTCTGTGTCCTCCCATCACACAGACTGTACAAACATTTAGTCTGGAGGGTCTGTGTCCTCCTCATCACACAGACTGTACAAACATCTAGTCTGGAGGGTCTGTGTCCTCCCATCACACAGACTGTACAAACATCTAGTCTGGAGGGTCTGTGTCCTCCCATCACACAGACAGTACAAACATCTAGTCTGGAGGGTCTGTGTCCTCCCATCACACAGACAGTACAAACATCTAGTCTGGAGGGTCTGTGTCCTCCCAACACACAGACTGTACAAACATTTAGTCTGGAGGGTCTGTGTCCTCCTCATCACACAGACTGTACAAACATCTAGTCTGGAGGGTTTGTGTCCTCCTCATCACACACAGACTGTACAAACATTTAGTCTGGAGGGTCTGTGTCCTCCTCATCACACACACAGACTGTACAAACATCTAGTCTGGAGGGTCTGTGTCCTCATCACACACACAGACTGTACAAACATCTAGTCTGGAGGGTCTGTGTCCTCCTCATCACACAGACTGTACAAACATCTAGTCTGGAGGGTCTGTGTCCTCCCATCACACAGACTGTACAAACATCTAGTCTGGAGGGTCTGTGTCCTCCCATCACACAGACTGTACAAACATCTAGTCTGGAGGGTCTGTGTCCTCCTCATCACACATACAGACTGTACAAACATCTAGTCTGGAGGGTCTGTGTCCTCCCATCACACAGACTGTACAAACATCTAGTCTGGAGGGTCTGTGTCCTCATCACACACACGGACTGTACAAACATTTAGTCTGGAGGGTCTGTGTCCTCCTCATCACACATACAGACTGTACAAACATCTAGTCTGGAGGGTCAGTGTCATCCCATCACACAGACTGTACAAACATCTAGTCTGGAGGGTCTGTGTCCTCCCATCACACAGACTGTACAAACATCTAGTCTGGAGGGTTTGTGTCCTCCTCATCACACATACAGACTGTACAAACATCTAGTCTGGAAGGTCTGTGTCCTCCTATCACACAGACTGTACAAACATCTAGTCTGGAGGGTCTGTGTCCTCCTCATCACACATACAGACAGTACAAACATCTAGTCTGGAGAGTCTGTGTCCTCCTCATCACACATACAGACTGTACAAAATTCTAGTCTGGAGGGTCTGTGTCCTCCCATCACACAGACTGTACAAACATCTAGTCTGGAGGGTCTGTGGCCTCACATCACACAGACTGTACAAACATCTAGTCTGGAGGGTCTGTGTCCTCCCATCACACAGACTGTACAAACATCTAGTCTGGAGGGTCTGTGTCCTCCTCATCACACATACAGACTGTACAAACATCTAGTCTGGAGGGTCTGTGGCCTCCTCATCACACATATAGACAGTACAAACATCTAGTCTGGAGGGTCTGTGGCCTCCTCATCACACATGCAGACTGTACAAACATCTAGTCTGGAGGGTCAGTGGCCTCCTCATCACACATACAGACAGTACAAACATCTAGTCTTGAGGGTCTGTGGCCTCCTCATCATACATACAGACAGTACAAACATCTAGTCTGGAGGGTCTGTGGCCTCCTCATCACACATACACACTGTACAAACATTTAGTCTGGAGGGTCTGTGTCCTCCTCATCACACAGACTGTAAAAATCTAGTATAAAGGTCCTGGTTTGTAATTAGATATTTACCTGTCTACAGTAGAGAGGTCCTTGTTTGTAATTATATATTTACCTGTCTACAGTAGAGAGGTCCTTGTTTGTAATTAGATATTTACCTGTCTACAGAAGAGAGATTCTGGTTTGTAATTATATATTTACCTGTCTACAGTAGAGAGGTCCTGGTTTGTAATTATATATTTACCTGTCTACAGAAGAGAGATTCTGGTTTGTAATTATATATTTACCTGTCTACAGTAGAGAGGTCCTGGTTTGTAATTAGATATTTACCTGTCCGTTACGGAAAGTTCTTGGGCAGTACTTTGGTTTGGAGGAATCAATCTTTTATCTAGAAATCAAAATATTAAAAAAAAATATTATTTATCTACTTTCCATAAAACAAGTAGTAAACAGTTAATTTATCAATCAGAAACACACATGTTTTGAACCTGGTCAGATGAATTGTAACCAGGATAATTAACATAACCTTTTACATACTAGAATACAAGTACATATATACAGCTTGGTGTCAACAGTTTACAACGACAGCTACAATCAGATCTGCTGGACATTAGCACAGAATAATTCCATGTTTTGGGTGAAATCAGTACTACGAACCTGTGCCCTATCACCATAAACATCAAGTCTAACAGATATACAGACAACATGTCTGCTGCAGGTAACCATACATATTCATGATATAATAATCACCAAAGACAGATATTCTACCATTTATTTCCTAATCTATCCCAGAAAGGTATTTATTTCCTCAGGTTTCTCTTAGCAAAACCATTCAGGAATGTTAGACAGAAAACAAAGGATATTTTTTATAAATAGAAAGTAAAACAAGAATAAACAATATAATTCTATTTTTATCCACATCTATTTCACTAGAGATTCCAGAGAATAAAAATATAATTCTATTTTTATCCACATCTATTTCACTAGAGATTCCAGAGAATAAACAATATGATTCTATTTTTATCCACATCTATTTCACTAGAGATTCCAGAGAATAAACAATATAATTCTATTTTTATCCACATCTATTTCACTAGAGATTCCAGAGAATAAACAATATGATTCTATTTTTATCCACATCTATTTCACTAGAGATTCCAGAGAATAAACAATATAATTCTATTTTTATCCACATCTATTTCACTAGAGATTCTAGAGGGACCTGGAGCCACCATTGTATGGCCTTTACTTATATGCTGAAGTCTTTTTCTTTTTGTTCTCATTTGCTCTTAACTATATGAAAAATGAGAATTCTTATCTAGTAACAACTGTGAAATCCAGTCCACCTTATTTTCATCAGTTCCAATATTAATGATACAATAGAAGTGACCTTGGGGACTAACATATGAATCTAAAGAAAGATCCATCTACGGCACTTCTCCTGAAATTGAAGTATTAATTTCAATTTGTCAAAGTTAAAGATGGCTGCGTCATCCAAATGTTTTTTTCTTATCAGTCCTGAAACCAAAATGGCACTGCAAGAGACAAAAAGATCCACCCAGACTTAAAGTAATCATCCTATTTAAGAAGGGACAACAGAACACAGACACAAGGCAATTTGAATACCCTGCTAAAAAGAGAAACTAACATTAGCCTATAACAAGAGGCCTAAGGGGCCTGCATCACTTACTTGACTAATTCAACTACTCAGTCATTTAACAAAGAATTTCAAATATATGTCAAATAATTTCTGAAATAATTTCCTTATTGGGACCAAGCTTTGTGGTAAAACAGAAGTCATTTTGGTAATTGAATATAAATTGTTTATTAACTTTGACATATTTAACCCATGTGACCTTAAATGTGGGTCAAGGTCATTCCTTTGAACAAATTTTGTAGCCAACCATCCCAGCATGCTACAGGCCCAATATCAGTACCCTAGGCCTTTTGGTAATTGAGAAGAAATTGTGTGAACATTTTAAAATATTTAACCCATGTGACCTTCAATGTGGGTCAGGTCATTCACTTGCACAAATTTTGTAGCCCTTCATCCAAACATGCTATGGTCCAAATATCAGTACCCTGTAAAGAAGTTATTTATATGGAAAAGCTGATGCCAGACTGACAACTGTGCCACTACATCAGTTAGCTGTCCCTCCTGGCAGGTGAGCTAAAACCTGAGGAATTTGGAGCAGAAAGTATCTCCTGAAATCTGATTAACGTGTCTTCAGGAGGAAGGAAGTCAAATGGAAATGATCTAGGTTATGGAGGTCTGTTTTAATTTAAAACAAGAAAATTAAAGTTTAGGAGCAATGACAAAGATCTTCATTTCAAATCTTTAGAAGGAAGAGATAAATCAAATGGAAATAACTTCAGCACAATCCTTGACAGTCTAGCGATTCATGCTGAATGACTAATAGATCGATTACTGTCACCTTGGTGCTTGATCTCACTCTACACTTCACAATCAAAGAATATATCACTTTCAGATTTACTCAGCATGCAATGGCTACAGAAATAATGGGATTCAACTGCAGTAGCCTGTTATTTGGCAGAGCAGACCTATCTATAGAAAAAAAACCTTGTAAGCCATGTTTCTTGGATCAATAACCTGAAAAAAGTCCTCGTCCTGGATACAGAACAACTAGGATCATCATTCACTTAAAAAGGACAATAAATAAAAACAACAAATCAAGGGATTAGTTTCAATCTTGGTTTCAATTTTATTAATTTCTTTTTCTAAGTCATTACATAGGTACAGCTTTAATACACTTTGTAACAGTGTAGAAATTCCTGACATTTACATCAGCTATAAATGCCATGGCTCTATTGGTTATGTGATCATTATGCTGACCCTTGTCCATCTGCAGCCAATGTATCCATAATAGAACTGTCATGTTTTTTACTGTCCATTCCTCGTGTTATTTTTGTAGAACTCTCACTGTCATGTTTTTGTAAATCCTCTCACTGTCATGTTTTTGTAAATCCTCTTACTGTCATGTTTTTGTAAATCTCCTCACTGTCATGTTTTTGTAAATCCTGTCACTGTCATGTTTTTGTAAATCTCCTCACTGTCATGTTTTTGTAAATCCTCTTACTGTCATGTTTTTGTAAATCTCCTCACTGTCATGTTTTTGTAAATCTCCTCACTGTCATGTTTTTGTAAATCTCCTCACTGTCATGTTTTTGTAAATCTCCTCACTGTCATGTTTTTGTAAATCCCCCCACTGTCATGTTTTTGTAAATCCTCTCACTGTCATGTTTTTGTAAATCCTCTTACTGTCATGTTTTTGTAAATCTCCTCACTGTCATGTTTTTGTAAATCCTGTCACTGTCATGTTTTTGTAATCTCCTCACTGTCATGTTTTTGTAAATCTCCTCACTGTCATGTTTTTGTAAATCCTGTCACTGTCATGTTTTTGTAAATCTCCTCACTGTCATGTTTTTGTAATCTCCTCACTGTCATGTTTTTGTAAATCTCACTGTCATGTTTTTGTAAATCCCCTCCCTGTCATGTTTTTGTAAATCTCCTCACTGTCATGTTTTTGTAAATCCTGTCACTGTCATGTTTTAGTAAATCCCCTCCCTGTCATGTTTTTGTAAATCTCCTCACTGTCATGTTTTTGTAAATCCTGTCACTGTCATGTTTTAGTAAATCCCCATACTGTCATGTTTTTGTAAATCTCCTCACTGTCATGTTTTTGTAAATCCTGTCACTGTCATGTTTTAGTAAATCCCCATACTGTCATGTTTTTGTAAATCTCCTCACTGTCATGTTTTTGTAAATCCACACACTATCTCATGTTTTTGTAAATCCTGTCACTGTCATGTTTTAGTAAATCCCCATACTGTCATGTTTTTGTAAATCTCCTCACTATCATGTTTTTGTAAATCTCCTCACTGTCATGTTTTTGTAAATCTCCTCACTGTCATGTTTTTGTAAATCCCCCCACTGTCATGTTTTTGTAAATCTCCTCACTGTCATGTTTTTGTAAATCCTTTCACTATCATGTTTTTGTAAATCTCCTCACTGTCATGTTTTTGTAAATCCTGTCACTGTCATGTTTTAGTAAATCCCCATACTGTCATGTTTTTGTAAATCTCCTCACTGTCATGTTTTTGTAAATCCTGTCACTGTCATGTTTTAGTAAATCCCCATACTGTCATGTTTTTGTAAATCTCCTCACTGTCATGTTTTTGTAAATCCACACACTATCTCATGTTTTTGTAAATCCTGTCACTGTCATGTTTTAGTAAATCCCCATACTGTCATGTTTTTGTAAATCTCCTCACTATCATGTTTTTGTAAATCTCCTCACTGTCATGTTTTTGTAAATCTCCTCACTGTCATGTTTTTGTAAATCCCCCCACTGTCATGTTTTTGTAAATCTCCTCACTGTCATGTTTTTGTAAATCCTTTCACTGTCATGTTTTTGTAAATCTCCTCACTGTCATGTTTTTGTAAATCCTGTCACTGTCATGTTTTTGTAATCTCCTCACTGTCATGTTTTTGTAAATCCCCTCACTGTCATGTTTTTGTAAATCCTGTCACTGTCATGTTTTTGTAAATCTCCTCACTGTCAGATTTTTGTAAATCCTGTCACTGTCATGTTTTTGTAAATCCTGTCACTGTCATGTTCTTGTAAATCCCCTCACTGTCATGTTTTTGTAAATCTCCCAATGTCATGTTTTTGGTATTTGCACTAGAGAGAGATATCTACCATCCTAGTCCTTTAAACAGCCTAGTTACAAGCCAGTGTAACACAGCAGTATAATATCAGATTGTATAAGATTGCTGGTGTTCACTTTTAGTATCAATATTCTTGTGATATGTTGTGTGGTGGAGTATCTCCAGCCTTATAACAAGTGTGAGCTGTGTGACCTTATATCTATTGATGTTTGTAATGGTATGCCTAGACATGCTTACACATGCTATACAACAACTGTTTAGAGGACAATTTTTATCCAATGAGGTGACTGGAATCACAAGTCCAAATCAATACTTAGGAAATACATCCTTTAATAACTTCAGTTATAATAATAGGTCACAGGTTACTCTAGCCTACACATAGAACATACAGACAGAAAAGTGAGATGGAATGTGGGCTTATTACGGAACAAGAAGCTTAGGAGGCCAAATATCCTCTGTCTCTGGGTAGAAAGGTCGACTTAATGCCAATAAGCCAATGGGGCCAACATAACCTCTGTCTTTAGGTAGAAAGGTCGACTTAATGACAATAAGCCAATGAGTACAAGACTTAATGACAATAAGCCAATGAGACCAAAATAACCTCTGTCTCTAGGTAGAAAGGTCGACTTAATGGCAATAAGTCAATGAGTACAAGACTTAATGACAATAAGCCAATGAGACCAAAATAACCTCTGTCTCTAGGTAGAAAGGTCGACTTAATGACAATAAGCCAATGAGGCTAAATATCCTGTCTCTGGGTAGAAAAGTCATCTTAATGGCAATAAGCCAATGAGGCCAACTTAACCTCTGTCTCTAGGTAGAAAGGTCGACTTAATGACAATAAGCCAATGAGGACAACATAACCTCTGTCTCTGGGTAGAAAGGTCATCTTAATGGCAATAAGCCAATGAGGACAACATAACCTCTGTCTTTAAGTAGAAAGGTCGACTTAATGACAATAAGCCAATGAGACCAAAATAACCTCTGTCTCTAGGTAGAAAGGTCGGCTTAATGACAATAAGCCAATGAGACCAAAATAACCTCTGTCTCTAGGTAGAAAGGTCGACTTAATGACAATAAGCCAATGAGACCAAAATAACCTCTGTCTCTGGGTAGAAAGGTCGACTTAATGACAATAAGCCAATGAGGCTAAATATCCTGTCTCTGGGTAGAAAAGTCATCTTAATGGCAATAAGCCAATGAGGCCAACTTAACCTCTGTCTCTAGGTAGAAAGGTCGACTTAATGACAATAAGCCAATGAGGACAACATAACCTCTGTCTCTGGGTAGAAAGGTCATCTTAATGGCAATAAGCCAATGAGGCCAACTTAACCTCTGTCTCTAGGTAGAAAGGTCGACTTAATGACAATAAGCCAATGAGACCAAAATAACCTCTGTCTCTAGGTAGAAAGGTCGACTTAATGACAATAAGCCAATGAGGACAACATAACCTCTGTTTCTGGGAAGAAAGGCTGAATTATAGCTGGATAATGAGAACGTGCTTGTTGGCATTTCTACAGAATCTACAATGGATGTGAGTAGGCTAATTATCTTTAACTAAATGTTTTTAACAACACTATACTAAACAAAAAATGTAAATCACATATTATTAACATATACAAAAAACTTACCAATATCATTCTGGTTTTGCCGTGTAAACTTGGGCAGTGGAATATCCTTTCCTGAAAAACAGAAAGTTCATTTTAAAGATACATGTATCTTGTTAGGAGAAATATTCAGTTTCCGAACGATGCTTCCTGTGAAATCATTTTCCGTTTGATGTGTGTATATAAAGAATGCACTTAAGACCTATATACATTCACTAGGGAGTACTGTTATACATTGTTGTTTATTCCTAATACATAAAAATGTTCAAAGTATTTACTCCCTTTAAATCTGTATCTTAGTTCTATATTAACCCATACTTCATGGCTGTTAATAGAAATAGCCTACTCCTTTTAAATCTGTGTCTTAGTTCTATATTAACCCATACCTCACATCTGTTAATAAAAAATAGCCTATTTCCCGATATAGAAAACTTTACAACAAATAGTCTAAATACTTTACATATACAGCAAGCCACATTGATTTCTTTGTCTTATCTATTACAGTAAGAGGGACAATACGGAACTAGAGAGTCCCATTAAAACAACACAGGTAACTGATATAGTGTCCAATTTTATTATTGTTTTGATACAGATATCACTCTTCAGTGTAATTCACAACAATTTATATAGTTTGATTAGTATGTAGATAACATTAAAAAAACAGTGAAATGTAGATCATCAGTGACAACATGTACTCGGTCACCCTCAGGAAATTGACAACAGTAAAATTGAACATGATAAATCTCATTTTGACAATCAAATTCACATAATGTTACCACCATATTTTGACTAGCACATCATCTGTCACGCCTTTCCCTACAAACCTTTTTGTAAAAAAAGCTGACAAAACCATTATGAAGTAATGCCATATAATCATGTTTCCATGACAACATCACTAAGAGTCCTGTCAGACACATCTACCTAGTTCTTTGTTTGCCTTTATTTATTCATTTTTTTTGTAGAAGGAAAAGCTCCATTATATAACAAAATATCTTAGACACTTGAATGCTTGTTTCATATAGAGACTGACAATGAAAATTTCTATCCTGCACACAAGTAATTAGATATCATCCTGTTGTCAGATTCTTGTTGTAGAACACATAACTTTCATATAATAGGTAGAAACTTGTCCTAACTTGGAGATAACTAAAGGGGAGGTAACTGCATTAATGTCAGCCTGTCATTTACAGTGCATAAATCCAGTTAGACAGAACTAAATAGTATTACCTGTAAACACAGTCAGTGGAAAGGAATAGCACAAACCTCTGATGTACACACAGACCTTCTACACAAAATGTATAAAGGATATATAAGGAGTAGATTTCTCTATTGTTTCCATCTAATCACATCCCTTTGATGTCCCCCACCGCCCCCATCCCCCGCCCACAAACTATTGATAACTTCACTGTAAGGATTTATACAGGCAGTGCTGTTTGGTTTTAACTAGGAAAACAATTCTCCAATTAATTTGTAAGTGATTTTAATGTAACAATGTAAAAAATAAATATGATAATTTGACAATACAGCTTTAATTTCAGTGTATGATAATGTGTTATGGTCATCTTTAAGTGTGTGAGGTTTCAGCTAAATTCTGTCAGGAATGAGTCCTCATGAGCACTGATAACTCTTTTCTTAAATATAAGTAATGATGACTTTGACCTAGACCTGACCTTCAAGAGTGGATAAACTTTGATGAGAATCATGAAAGAAATTAAGCTGCTAGAAAGCTTACAATGATTTTCCAAATATATTAGCAGTGACCCCTTAACCTTGAAACAAAACCAGAAAACTTGACCTTGTTCCATTGTGTTTGATGTGATATAAGAGTATAAAGTTTGATGAGAATCCCTGAAGGTATGAAGCTGCTAGAGTGAAAACAAGCTGCTGTTGTGTGACAACATGGTCTGACATTGTCAGACACCTAGATGGTATGCTATTACTTGAAGACAACATGGCTTGACATTGCCAGTCATCCATATGGATTCTACAAGACAACATGGTCTGACATTATCAAGTGTCCATATGGTATACTGTTTCTCCAAGACAACATGGTCTGACATTATCAGGTGTCCATATGGTATACTGTTTCTCCAAGACAACACAGTCTCACATCGTCAGGTGTCAGTGTATTGTTACTCCAAGACGACATGGTCTGACATTATCAGGTGTCCATATGGTATGCTGTTTGTCCAAGACGACATGGTCTGACACTATCAGGTGTCAGTGTGTTGTTACTCCAAGATGACATGGTCTGACATTATCAGGTGTCAGTGTGTTGTTACTCCAAGACGACACGGTCTGACATTATCAGGTGTCAGTGTGTTGTTACTCCAAGACGACATGGTCTGACATTATCAGGTGTCAGTGTGTTGTTACTCCAAGACGACAATGTCTGACATTATCAGGTGTCCATATGGTATGCTGTTTCTCCAAGACAACATGGTCTGACATTATCAGGTGTCCATATGGTATGCTGTTTGTCCAAGACGACATGGTCTGACATTATCAGGTGTCAGTGTGTTGTAACTCCAAGACAACATGGTCTCACATTATCAGGTGTCAGTGTGTTTTTACTCCAAGATGACATCATCAGCCACCTCTATAGTATACTGTTACTATAGGAGGTCCTTAAACCATTTCTTATGCTGTAAAACAAATCCCCAATTTGTTTGTCATTTGTCTAGACAATGTTTTTCTATGTGCTGGTATCTAGAAATTTTATTCCTACAGGGCACTAGCATTGTTTGATAAACAGAACTGTAGTTAATAACATCATCCGGTATCTATCTGAAGGTATGTTGTTAGTCTGGTTAGCCTATATCATCCACAGGGCAAGATGTCATACTTCTATATCCTAAGTGTCATACTTCATTATAATGGTACCTTGAAAATACCCCCAAAGTGGCCCCACTAATTACCCTCGGGCAGTATCACCATCATGACATTAGGCATGACAATGATTTACATATACCCTAACAAAACTATGACGTCAGGGAGGCAAGGTTAATCAAGTACAGATGAAAAACCAAATCTCTTGTAGGCACCAATAGAACAGAACAAAAATAAAGTGATTATATTTGTTTAATTTCTCCAGCACTAAACAGTCCACTTCTAACACTACAGCACAGTAATTATACAACATCTTATGAAGTCTTCATAATGTGGTAAAAACACAGGAGCTTTAAGACTCCAAAGTGTAGCTGTTAATTACCTTTCTGGAAGGAAAGATGATTGTGGAGCCATCATTTAGCCCTGTACAATTATCCCTTGTTCTCATCCATTATTACATGCCAATGCTTACAAAAATCACTTCACCAAACTACTCTATCTTTTATAAGATATGTCTGCTGTCCCTTACAGATTGCAGCAGATCTCACCATATTTCAAATAGGTATAGACTTAGTGATGTTTTCTTTATTTATACAATTTTTCTCAGTTCCAAGAAAAAAATATTACCCTACCCATTTTCTGGTTAGCTAATTTTTTTTTTTTTCATTTTTGTTTAAAATGCCCATGTGTACTAAGCTTTACTTCAGGCCTCAGCCTTTTTGTTCTGTCACCAGTCAAGTGTCATTGACCAATAATTTGACTGCTGTTTATTGTTGTTCTGTGTCACCAGTCCAGTGTCCTTGACCCATAGTTTGACCGTTGTTTTGTGTCACCAGTCAAGTGTATTTGACCAATAATTTGACCGTTGTTTATTGTTGTTCTGTGTCAAAAGTCAAGTGTCCTTGACCAATAATTTGACCATTGTTCTGTGTCACCAGTCAAGTGTCCTTGACCCATAGTTTGACCGTTGTTTATTGTTGTTCATTGTCACCAGTCAAGTGTCCTTGACCAATAATTTGACCATTATTCTGTGTCACCAGTCAAGTGTCCTTGACCCATAGTTTGACCGTTGTTTATTGTTGTTCTGTGTCAAAAGTCAAGTGTCCTTGACCAATAATTTGACCATTGTTCTGTGTCACCTGTCAAGTGTCCTTCATCCATAATTTGACCGTTGTTTATTGTTGTTCTGTGTCAAAAGTCAAGTGTCCTTGACCAATAATTTGACCATTGTTCTGTGTCACCAGTCAAGTGTCCTTGACCAATAGTATGACGTTGTTTTGTGTCACCAGTCAAGTGTCCTTGACCCATAGTTTGACCGTTGTTTATTGTGTTCATTGTCACCAGTCAAGTGTCCTTGACCCATAGTTTGACCGTTGTTGTTCTGTGTCAAAGGTCAAGTGATGGGGATAGTGGGGTAGGAGGGGGGAGAGATGGGGCAAACGAAGAGATAGAGATAGTGGGGTAGGAGGGGGAGAGATGGGTCAAACGAAGAGATGGAGATAATGGGGTAGGAGGGGGGAGAGATGGGTCAAAACGAAGATATGGAGATAATGGGGTAGGAGGGGGGAGAGATGGGTCAAACGAAGAGATGGAGATAGTGGGGTAGAAGTGAGGAGTGATGGGGCAAACGAAGAGATGGAGATAATGGGGTAGGAGGCGGGAGAGATGGGGCAAACGAAGAGATGGAGATAGTAGGATAGGAGGGGGGAGAGATGGGGCAAACGAAGAGATGGAGATAGTGGGATAGGAGGGGGGAGAGATGGAGCAAACGAAGAGATGGAGATAGTGGGGTAGGAGAGGGGAGAGATGGGGCAAACGAAGAGATGGAGATAGTGGGGTAGGAGGGAGGAGTGATGGGGCAAATGAAGAGATGGAGATAGTGGGGTAGAAGTGAGGAGTGATGGGGCAAACGAAGAGATGGAGATAATGGGGTAGGAGGGGGGAGAGATGGGGCAAACGAAGAGATGGAGATAGTAGGATAGGAGGGGGGAGAGATGGGGCAAACGAAGAGATGGAGATAGTGGGATAGGAGGGGGGAGAGATGGAGCAAACGAAGAGATGGAGATAGTGGGGTAGGAGAGGGGAGAGATGGGGCAAACGAAGAGATGGAGATAGTGGGGTAGGAGGGAGGAGTGATGGGGCAAATGAAGAGATGGAGATAGTGGGGTAGGAGGAGGGAGAGATGGGGCAAACGAAGAGATGGAGATAGTAGGGTAGGAGGAGGGAGAGATGGATTATAATATAAT